ATATATATATATACATATATATATACATATATATACATAGAATATCTATATATTCATAGATATATCTATATATACATAGAATGTGCTTAATAATAATAACATAATAAGATTAATTTTCTTATTGTTGATTATGATGAGTATGTAAGGATGTGTTTTATAATAAAATAAATTAAATATAATAATTTAATAAATTAACATATCTTAGGATAAATACAAATGAATAATCAATGCGTTAATTTTGCAAAGTTAAGAATGTTGACTAGATAGTCCAGAATTTCTATTTAATTCTCATTTTATTACATAAACGATACAACGAAATAATAAATATCCGTATATAAATAATTTTTGTCAAAATGCACATTTCTACATTATTTTTTTTTTTAAGGAAACTTTAAGTAAAAAAATAATGTTAATGCCAACAAGAAATTATAACAAATAAATTAAAGAGAAATAGCCAATGCGAGCTACCACAAGATGCTTTTTGTGAAAATAATTGTCATATATTAAAGAAATAAGTTGCAGCATTTCGACATCGTAATTGTGTCCTCTTCAAATGTGAACATAATACAGATTATAAAAGCATTCCAGTAAATAAAATAATCTTATAAAATAAGACGGTAGTTTCTATTTTTACTGTCAATAATAAAAATAGAAACCGTCTTCGTCATGTTCCAATGTGTCTACAAAATAAATTGCAAAAATTGCAGTTCATCATACGTAGATAAGCGCCTATTAAAAACAAGAACATTACAGCCATATTAATAGAAATACGAGACAGATTCTATTATTACAGAACATAGATCTGAGTTTAATCATGATTTTGATTGAGATGACATACAAATTTTAGAGAAGAAAAAGTTTTCAATAGACGATTTACCTCAGAAGCAATTCACATAAAAAAGAAAGAAATAGCTTAAACAATACAAAATGATACCGATTTATTAGATCCGTTTTATAATGATCTTGTTTATGTATAGATGTCACTTCCATACTTTGGAATATTAACTTGTTATAAACTTTGTCTACCTCTCATTCGCAGTTTTAAGTTCAGCGTATATTGATCAATTGTTACAGAACATCGTTAATCTGTTCTCAAGTA